CGCTCTACCACTTCACTTTAGATTACTCCTACAGCATCGTCTTTCACTTGACAGGAGCAAATCACAAGCCAAGGATTCAGAGATTTCTGCTCTGGGTGTTCAAGTGACACCATATTTTGTCAGTGTCTTCAATTACGAGGACAGTATGACTCGCATACTGTAAGTAAACAAGACTGTTCCCTGATGACGCATGAATCTCTAAGTCTCTAAAGTTGGTTAAGGTAAATGTCATTACTAACTATATGATAAAGTCAAATAAAAGTGGGGATAGTGGGTCTCCCTGACGTACGCCACTGGTTGTCATCAATTCAGATAGCGACTTTCCTTGAACTTTTATACGGTTGAGTGAGTTTGCAATTATCTTCATGTGAATATATACCATTCAAGAGCATAATGATTAACATGTGTCTTTCTCAAGATCGGCCATGTGTTGACATCAGGTAGAGAGCCATTGGAAAACCTCGAGTACTGGACATCTGTTTCAGTACCCGCCAAACTCTGAACCAGGTTACAAAGCGATCTCCTTCGCTATTCATCCACTTCTATAGAACCAAATGGCCAGTTGAATTCTAACTTCTGCCGGCAGACAAAGTTACCGGAGAGTATCTCTTCTCACAATCAATCCAATGGACTCATCATCAGAACTCCAGGCAACCTCATCCTGTGGTTATTCACAAGTGAGAATAAGATTAGACTTTCAGTCAAATTCCGCTTCAAATAGCTGCCTCAATCTGGTGACCGAAGTTATTTGTTTTTCAGTTTAAATCATTTCACTGTGAGATTTCCAATCCGGAAAAAAAATTCAATTTTGAAGTTATATTACTGAAAAGTAATTGACTTTTTTGGACAGTTTCCTTCTCTTATGGGTAAAATTTATTTTGATCAAGTCTCGCAGTATTATACAGTAATATTTACTGATGACAACGTTTCGAGCACAATTTATTACTGCTCATAATCCCAATATCAATGGGAATTATACTCTACCACAGTGCACAAGTTTTATTCTTATATCAATTTCCTTCTCGTTTCAAATGTATTTTCAAACGTACAGATTTATTACACAGGTGACTAAAGTACACTTTATGACATAACTAAGAAAAATTTCATTCATAATTCGCAGCTTGTCTTCAAGTTATAGTCATTGTCTATAAGACAGCAAAAGAAATGTAGGCGATAAAGGATAGGTAGCATAACTAAGAAAATTAGTTAGTTTAGGTGAACACACCCATTTCACACCCGTCGACTGTTTTCCTAACGTAGTGTAAAAAGAAACATTCACTTGATCTGTAATGGATTCAAAGCGTGCCATTTATTCAAAATTTTAATGCCGCTCCAGAGTAGAAAATAATTTCCCGAAAGCTGCATTCTGAAGTAATACCAGATGCAGAACCTTGGAAAACTATGAAAGCATGAACAGCTGACCTCAATTTCTACAACAATGAGTACTCTGATAGGTTTCAAACCTACGGCAAGAAGCCAGGATCGTGGAGTTCACAGATAATATTCATCCGCGGTGGGATTATCCACTAACTGGAAGAAGTTAAGACGGTTCAATAATAAATGTTTTCACTTTGTTAGCCGAAGGTTTTGACTGGGTTGTGGGCCTTGAGTGTCACACTAAGATAAAATACTTGTGTATTATTTAAGTATTACCTAGCTGGTGCGTTGGTGGCATAGTGTTTAGGACGCTCGACGACCATGCGCATGGTCCGGGGTTCGATCCCCGGCCGACGCACTCCTTTAGGTCGCTAAGCCGGAAATAATGATGGTGAAGAGGAAAGGTTAGGCATGAGGCCAGCAACCCCATCCTGTCAAACAAACACTGCTACAGAAACTTCAAGCCAATAGCTCGAAGCCCTATATTCTACTGGGGAACGTGAAGGAAATGAAAGAAAGAATTACCTAGCTGATATCAGTTTTCGATGAAATCGACTATAAGTGGATAAACCGGAGATTTCCAGGTGAATTTTCTGGCTAATTTCATAATTAAAATGAGCACTTTCTCCCTAATCTACTGCAAAATTTTCTACCTTTAAGCTGTAATGCATTATTAAGACAGAAAACTTCCGAAATAGACACAGAATATGCATAAAGTAACAACAGCAGTCATATGTGACAAATTACAAATACCTTACACTGATATCACCATTTGCACATGTTCTGCATACTGTACTTGTTTTGTCTTCTATTTGTGTTATTTCACACAAGAATCTATCATTTTAATTCTCCTTCATTTACTCCATCTCTCCGTTATTCAGTATTCTTGCAGAAGACATCACACACACAATATATTACTGATGAGATCTAGTCAGTAGCACCCGCTAAATTGTGATTTTATTTTTATTTCATAGCAGTCTATCTTACTAGCAGCTATTAGAGTCATTACACAAATTATCTAGCTATTTACACCTGAACACTAGATATTTTACGTTAGAGACTTCAATTATCAGTGAATAGTCTACGAGCTTGCCTTGTAAACGGAAGTTTCTCGGTTCGAACCCGGACAGTGGGTGTGTACTTTCAATGAGCCCCAAACTAGGCTGACGAAACAGGTGTCCAGTACACCCCGGGCGGTTTTCATTTGTTCTTTAACTGACATCGATGCTTGATCAAACTCGTATGAAATCGAATACCTACAAGCAAACTCATGACAATTAAGAAGGTTAGATGTTAGATCACTCTGAAGCCTCTTCAGAATATGAAATTCCAAAGCGATTTCTACAGCTTGATGTTACCAACTGTGTACATAATGTCACCATCGAAGAAGCATATCCTTTTATTACCGTCTACCTCCAATGTTCATCAATTTCCTAGTATTATGTCCCATGCAGTTTCTTCATTTTACCTTAGTTGTGAAACCATTACAAATCATCCTCTGCGTTGATAGTGACTAGCAGGGCAATCCAAAATGCCAATTTTGTCCCATTTAATACTAGTTGTCTGCACGTACGCGCTTTCACAATGAGTGGTGCTTTTCCTGATGAGATATCATCATTGTTCACCTCATAGAACGAAGCCATCAACTTCATACTGAACTAATTAAAAAGCGAATCTAATCTAAATCAGATAGTATGCCTTCATACCCCAAACTGTTGACTGTGACCTATGGACTTCTGTTGTAGCCCTAAAGTTAGCATATAACTGCAGCTATTCCTTGAATTTATCTCACCAGGATGGTGAATTCGTGCAGCCCAGTGGGTGAATATCGTGAAATTCAGTAATCAGTGTCAGATTGCTTGCTCGACTGATTTTCTCTGAAAAGAAGGCACGTCAGCTTTACACTAAAAAGGTCTGTGTGTATGTTGATAATTCCCTATATTCCTTGGTCCATCCTATAAGCTGCGTTAGACACATAGTGGCTGAAGCCTGAATGTAGTATTAGGTATCCTGTTGAGAAAGGTAAAAGCCCATCTGTAGACAAATAAGCAGATGATTCTGATCCAGCTTTAAGAAAACTGAAATATTTGGGTAAATATTTTGAGGACAAATAGGAAAATCATGTTCATCTTTGAAGATTCTGGTAGGATAATCAGCTGCTTTTGACCAGAACTTGATATAAAAATCCTTAGAGGCATTGGCTTACTTGGTGACCACTGATATTAGTCTAACTATAAACATTGGTTGGTGGGTTACTGTTAAAATACAATCCCAACCAAAATACCCGCATGAAATCCAGCTATGCTGTTTCAAGCATTGTACACAGAAGACAGGCAGGTAAGAGGAAAACGAGTGTTTATACATATGTCATTCAAGTGAAATGTCAGGTTTTGTGTAAAAGCAGGAGTTGATGAAATATGTATCGCAGTGGTTCACAATGATACTCACTTTGTAAAGCCTGCCGCCATCTCCAGTTTGACGTCAGAACAGCCATGCAGACAGTTCATACGTTGCACCCTCCAAAAAAAACTGACAGATTTCCGAAAATTCTTGTGACGCCCGAAGGCGACAAATTCGACAATAAATGGAATCAGCCTCAATGTAAGTTGACTAAACGTTTTGTTAAAGACCGTGAATATGAAAAGAAATTTCGAAATAGCACTGACACTGGAGCAGTACTCATCAACTGTCTGAGCTCAAAGAAACCGATTAGGAGATTATTTCTCAGAAAAGATGGTTTAGCCATTTTGGGTGAAACACATTGAGGAATGACTCAGCCAAAAGAAAGTTGACCACTACTCGAACTCCACGAGAATGAGATGTAGACTTGCCACCCCTACCCCCCCCCAACCGTCAGTCTATAAAAGACCAAAATAACAGAATTTGACAATGTAGATTGCCAGAAGTCTTCATAGACGCTAGAAAATTAGTAGTTAGAATAATTCAGACACTAATTAGCTTATGGGAATTGGAAATATTTCCACCAGATTACTCTGTGTATTTATGACGGATAAGCTGATTTCGAGAACGTGGTGTGAACTGGTTGATTTTTCACTTGTTGTCCTTCATAAAACTCTTTTTCTCTCTCTCTATCTGAAATACCTCTTTTTTTCAGTCCACAAGTCGCGAGCACAATAAGTCGCATTAATCGTGCACTAACCTGCAGAAAACACCGCTCATTCTGCATTAAAAAAAAGTGAAGAAGGAGAAATCTTGTTCTCACACATGTTTAATACACCATATCTGTTTAATATTTGCTATGGACTATCAAAACAAATTTATACAACTGGATTTGGTTTCATTTAGCAAAGGTTGTATGCGTCGCCTACCTTACTGTGAACTATGATGGTTCCAAAATAATTAAGAGAAAAAAAGAGAAAATGTAAAAACAAAAACTCTGTTTATATTCACTAAATGAGACGAGAACGATAGAGAGATAGATAGATGGAGGAGACATTTGACTCCTAAAATAGCTATTGCTTCACCGATATTCATAGTCGTATGTCATGTGTCCAATTATCAACAAACTTTCAGTGTGTTTGTATATATGTGGACCAATCAGAATTGTTTATTTCTGCTAAAAATCATACTGTACAATTACTGGTTAAAAATAATATAAGACTGAGAATTACAAGGCAGTTTTTATGTATATTATTGGTATGATATTATGCACAAAACAGTCGAGGAAAGCTGCTTTAACAAATTTTAGTAAGAAATAGTGACCAAAAGAGCCGAACTTTATTATTGTTATCATTATTATTACTATCATTAACTGTTATTCGAACAGTTTGCATAACATGAAAATAAACTTCGAAAACTGTCATATTTGATGGGAAAAATCATTTAATTTAACATTGTACAGTGCATTATTTCAAATGGACACTATCTTGTTTTAATGAAAACTTGCTCTCAATAGCATAACAAGAGCAACAACGACAAGCCCTAAAGGCATTTCTTTAGTTAACTATTACCAACCGAGTGGTAAGTATGCTTCTGTAAATGTAATAATTGTTAATACATTTTATTCCCATTGAAAATGATAACCCTTATATGAATTGTATTCACAATATTTTTTATCAAAACAGTAGTTATGCTTTTTTTTATCAGGCTTTAAAAACTGGATAATCAGTTAATCCTGTAGTTTTGTGAAATTCTTGACTCTGGTTACTTTCATCATGGTATTACTGTCTATAATTTGTAAGTGATAGCTTGTGAAATCTTCTTTTAGGGATGCCTTATCCTATCAGGTACATCGGGTACAGTCCCATCACCCTAGTATCAGAACAATATCAGACATGTATACAGTTTAACCAGGGATTTCTACTGGACAACTTTACTGACATCATGCCTCCGTGTCAGTTGAACTAAATTCACATATGAGGTAAAGCTTTGTCCAACAGTACATCCAATACTGAAAATATGAGCGGTTGCGTTTCAAAAAGTTACTGAGTGTTTAAACCCAATGTCCAGTTACACGAAGGCTTATCATAACATCGAACAGTTCTAGTGTTTACCTCATAACACGCTAACTTGAAATATGATAAATAATTGTCTTGCACATAGATAACTGTATGTTGTACCAGTTAAATCACACATCACACACACACACAAAAGGGACAAAATTAGACAAAAACAGTGGGCCATAAGTGGCCTATTAAAATCCTGTAACCATCTGGTGTTCTTCGCTTGTAAAAATTTCATTTTCGCATAATGGTAACTAAGCAAGTCGTGAAAATAGGACAAGAAGTTCAGTAAAGGTATCTTTGTAGCGATTTCATCCTCAAAAGCAGAGCTATACAATCACATTTCCATTTACATAGACACAATGATTATTTAATTCCATGAAATAACAAAGGAGATTAGAGGTGACAATAATTTTCAACCTGAAATGGAAGTCTGAGGATGTGAATATGATAAATTATAAGGGGCTTAGAAACAAAATAACGCAGGATTAGAAAATTAGTACTTTTCAACGTGTACAGGTGTGAATGGGATGAGCATGGGAGAGAACTGAAATAATAATTTTCATAATTGAAATTTTAAAAAATTGAAGGGAATGAAAAAGCAAAATACAAAAACCAAGGAGTCAAGTCGAACCAGATCTTTGGTAAATGTAGAGGTTGGACTAATTTCTTTTGAGCACATAGTTCTGGCTTTTCGATGCATATGGCGAAGGCTTCTCCAGCAATAATGAAGTCGGAAACTCACTGCCTTCAGAAGATTTTTGTTTACCTTGTCAATGACTCTGAATGATGAGTTGATTGAGACGTTGCGGCGGGTGTTGACGAGATGTTCAGTTATGGCACTACTGATCGAATCGCTGCCTTCTCTGTGTAGCTATGATGGCTAGTTTTCTCTAACACATTTTGATAGGACTCGCCTAGAACGACCTATGTACGCAGCTCCCCAGTAGTCAGTGGACTGATTTATACATACTGGAGTGGTAATATGCGGAAGTTTGTCTTTCACACTGCTTAGAAGCAGCTGCAGGGAAGGCTTTCTTTAGGGAACTAGACATTCGCCTCCTAGGGATACCTGCCTCTAAGTCCCCCTTGAAGTCCAGATCCGAATACAGTGTTTTCTTTGCTCATGAACTGCATTCTCCTCTTTTTGGCTTCAGTATCATGTTCTTCTCCACGAAGCATGAGTGATGTCCACTTTGATCTAGGATATTTTTGAGAAATAAGAGCTCTAATTCTATGTAGTCAACGCTGAGAACTCCTGATACGATGGGCCTTCGAGAAATAAACAAGTGTTCTGACATCAAAAATACTTTCATCTTTCTGACTTAACTCCACTTAAACTTTTATTTTAAACTACACCTGTTCGTGATTTGCTGAACTCTCAAAAATCCAAAATGTCGTCATTGTGTAGGCGTCCTTTATTCATTGACTGACGCGAAAAGTTAATAAATTGTGAATACGCCTACTTTTTTTTGATTAATTAGCCAGACACTTACTTACCTACGCCATGTACTGTGCATTTTGTCGATTATTTGCATTTAGTTCTGATTACTTTTTTTTTCTCCTTCACATATCTAACACAACATCTAAGCCGGGAGTAAAATTAGAACAAAATAACCTTAGTGGGCTTTTTCCTTCTTATCAAACAATCTATTTGTGTTATTCTTCTGTCCTTAATTTTTATCGATTTCCATTTCTTTTTACACGTCGATTGTCACTTCACTGTCCACTTAACAGACTTTGTAAAAAGTGAAAAAAACTCTTGAAATTTAAAAAACCTGAAGTATTGTCAACGTTTATTTCTTTATACAGGCTGACGTAAAATACGAAAACAGGGCATAAATAATGCTCATTAAAACTGTGTCCTCAATTCTTTGTATATGTCACACGTTAGACGTTATTTTCCCTGCACACTGAAATTTCGAGAAGTGGTGATCACATTTCTTTAGTTTTTGACTAAAATATTACTTCTATAAGATTATACAGTGTGGACTGGACATAGAGAAGGCAGGAGTGACAATATAGCTGTCATCGTCATTCTTCCTCCTGCACATTTCTGTCCACTATGCTTCTCTTTCGAATCGCTCTTCTCTTCCTGCCTGTTTACTTAATCGAGTGTGACCGCCTGAACTGCTACACTTCTGTGAAAAGTTCTACACTGAACTTCAGTGGGTCAGTCAGATCTTCGTCACGTACATGCAGTCCTCTCCGGGTGGGGGGATAAAAACAAAGTGATGATTTCTTGGTATGTGTGTGTGTGGGTGGGTGTTTTACATTCAGCCACAGATGTTTTTAGCCTAAGCAAAAGTGTTTGTATGTATGTAGTATAGTTAAAGATTATTTGAATAAAACATCCACTCAAAATCTTGGCGACTATGCTTCTATTATTCGTGTTTCGTTATCTGATAATTGTGATGTAATCTTAGGCGACATTGAAATGTTTCAGGAAATACGACACGAATGTTCAGACATACTGTAATCTATGCTTACTTTTCTCATTTCACCCACTTTTCTCTCAGTTGTTTCTTTTTTTAAATTCTGATACCTGTTAACACATAGAATCTGATATTTTGGTTTACTTCGTCACGAAATGAAGTAAAGTAAAACTTCATTGAGTAGAAGGTTGTTTCAGTTGGTAAAAAAGATATATGTATATATAGTGAGAGACAGAGACAAGTTGTTTAGCTAAGAGATTCTTTTGGTGATTTTATATATAAATTAAACGCCTTTCGCATATTTGCGATTCTGCCTAGAAGATGTTGTGACAGCACACAAAAACTAGATTTACTTTTTACCCAAAGACTTGAAGTATTTGATAGCAAAATCCTCCGGTAACAACATCCTTCAAAACAGCCATCTGATACTTGGTCGCCGTGATACTTAGTCAAATCGTAATGCATGACAAATAAAAAACCCTTAACAGTTTGATATTGAGAAATCGCTGGAACGATAAACATTTTCCGCTTAGGAACCTTTTCATCAAACTTAAAGAGACTGTTTAGGGATTACCTAATTTCTGAGACTTTAGCCAGCACTACTAAATAACATGAGAATACAGTTATCAGTTATATAATTGTCTCTGGTGTGTCCATGTTAGTCAGTTTTATGGATGACGAATATAATATCATCTTCAAGTGTTGGTTTATAGGGATTTGACTGGTTACAGGATTTCATGATGGTCTGACACTGTTTAGGGAACCACTAGAAAGGAGGACTTCGTAGGCCATTTAGCCACCGGGAGCCGATTCACTGGTCAGCCCCTAGATTTCAACTTCTGACAATGCACGACAAAGGGTGACCACTAGTCAGTGTCATTCATGGCGAGTAACTGCCCTCACACCCGATTTGCTGTATCCCACTGGTCACGACCTCCCACTAGAACCCAGGTATTTACCTACCTGAATAGGTGTCTTCTAATTCAAACCTGATGAGTGCAGCGGGAACCAGAGTTTGTCTAAACTACATATTTCATTCGTTGTAACTCACCACCAAACTCCTTTGCCAGCAGATGGCTTCAATTTTCATGTCTTGTGATAACTGTATCCTATTTATAACACATAAAACACCTCGTTTCCAAAATAGGTATTTAACGGGAATACCGATCCAGATGGTTTTTTATACCTCAATTCACCTGGGAAAGTCTACACCACTTTATCATCTAACAGGGAAAACCACTGTTCATTTTATTATTATTATCTGTCTTTGAACACTTTTCATTTTCTCATCACTTTTCACTTTTCCTTCAGTATTCTCGCTCAACAAGAGTTATTCGTCTGTTTGTGCTTCATTTCTATTTTAAATACAAATTTAGACTTCCTAATTGACCACTTTTCCTAAACTAGTAAATGAATTAGTTCTTGCAAGTGTTGGTTTGCAGGGATCAGACTGGCTACAGGAGTTCATCATGAGGTGAAATAGGTTAGAGAACCATTGGAAAATCTGGCAGTACTGACTCTTCATCAGCACATCTACGAGCTCGCCTTATGACCGAAAGGTCTTGAGTTCGAACCTCGATAGGTGCGCACTGATGAGGAGTCCCAAACTAGGACGAGATAGCTGTTCAATACTCCCACGTTTTACCAGTGGTTCTTTAACCGATGTCAGCTGATGATGCAATTAGTATCCTGCTGGTTCAGCCTTCAGATAGAACAGATCGTAACAACTTTCCAGATGAGTGTGTAGCAAATGAATTCCAACCAGTCATCGTGATTCCATTTAATTGAGATGATAACTCTGACGTTTTTAAAGAACACTGTCATGTTTATTGATATAAGGATAAAACTTAGGGCACTGTGGTAGAGCATAACTCCATTATGGATAAGATTTTATTTTGATAAGTCACACAGTGTTGTTATACAGTAGTACTAACTGATGACGTTTCGAGCACAAACTATTACTGCTCATAATCATATCACGTCACTCACACAACTTTTTTCTTCGTTTGTATGCATTAGTGGAATTGACCAGATATTTGAATAAAAATCGGTATAAGATAATGTTCGTTCAGAAATAATAATA